GTGTTGTCCCCTGTAGGGCATAGGTCAGTGAGGGATGTCGTGTCTCATACTGGGGCCAGCTATATGGTCCTCTCTGTGCATTGGCTACTCTGAGCAGAGATATTGTCCTCAAGGTTTGGTGGGTCAAGATGTTTCCACTCTCTCTTCCTCCACATTCATTTGCTCCCGTGTGTCAGCACATTTTTAATGCTGTTTTTGTAGTAAAATTAGGTGCCTCGGCTGATATTCGGGTCGGCTTATACTCAAGTATATACGGTGTGTGTGTGTGTGTGTGTGTGTAATGAAATAAAGAGGATAAAGCATTTCCATTGTTTGCAACAAAAGTGATTTAAATAAATGCATGAATAAAGGCTTGGTGTCCCCAAGCACGTAGCCAACCTCAGTGCGTCCATCAGTGTACAGTTTCTCTAGAGGCAGGTTAAGATATGTATTTTGTAAATAGTTGAACTGGGTTGGGAATAGTTAAAAGAACTTTCTCCAGACCTCCACCATCAAACCAGGGTACTCTGGTGCCCAACTCTTACTTGGCTTGATCTTCTAACTTGCTGGACCAGTAGCTTTCCAGGCGCTTGCAGGTGAGCTGTCATCCTAAGCTGTGTCTCAGAGAAGGCTGCTCCATCCTTTTAGACCCCAAACATTTGTCTTTGTGCCTATAAGGTCACAGATGGAGAAAAATAACAAGGGAAGGTCAGAAGCACCTTTCTTTTACCATCTTTGACTTTCTCATAATACAAAACAATGGTCCATTCTGTCTTCCACCCATCAACATTAACCGTGTAGTAAGTTTCCTGCATACTCACTAAACGCTCATTGGACTCAATGGGCGGGAAGGTGCCTCATAAGAAAGGTGGTGTGGGTGTACGCATGTGTGTAAATTGAAGGTTGCTCCCAGTGGAACAAACTTGTGCTCTGACAAATACAAGGTCCATGAGTTGTAAGTCACTCGTAGAAACTGGTTTAAATATTTACTATGGATTGGGATCCACAGAATCTGCTGTACTCTCCCATATTTGACCTCTAAAGTTTGTCACCATTCTGTAAATCAGTTATTATTTTTCTTTGTTTTTACAGTAAAGGGAAGCTCACTTATTCTATAACCTAGCTGCCACCA